ATACATATATATATATACACACACACACGCGCACACACAGTATATATCATACATTCAAACATACATACACAGACCAGAGGCATCCCAGATTCCCATCTCTTCAACTGTTCCTTACCTCTTCCAGCTGGGGCGCAAAAATGAAGCAGGGAGCTTGGTCATGGCCATGTGACCACCCGCCCAGCTTCCTAATTGGATGGGAAGCCTGGGAAGCCATAGCCATGCTCCCTTACAGCTTCCCCGGTACCTAGGACTGCGGCTGTTATGCGAGGAATGTAAGTGGCAAGTGCTGCTGCGTTGTGTATTGCTGAACCTGTAACAGGAGAGATGTTCGTGATCTCTCGACCAGCTTAGTGACTAAAAACATGGTGCCCGCTGTTATGGTTTTGGTATTGAGCTCGGGATACCCTGTGCACACACCTATGGTCTAGGGATCTCGGGGAGACATAGCATTACTTTTTTGGGGCCCAATGGACATTTTCAGTTCAAATATAATGAAACATTATAAGGCTAAATATTTTCGTATAACAAAAGAGATAACTTTTTAAAGTCTTTATTATAGTTGCACAGTGCAAACCTTTCAAAATGTGACGAAAGGCAAATACTCCTCAGGATCTGTTGCCAAGTAGTGTAAAAAAAAAGGGAAAATCTTCTTGCATATGGTGTATACCCAGAACATTCAGTGTTCTGAATGTACATAAGATTCATTTCTCTACATGGTAATGTTTTTGCTGTCTGAGATTTATATATTACTAAACTCTAATACTCAAAATCTCTTTAAAAAGCACAAAATACTAACACAGCTTATTAGAAAGTCTACCTCTGCATCAATTTCAGGACACCTCAACCATATCTTCTGCCAGATGCTTTTAATATTATTAGGATAATTATTCAGCAAAACAAATTATTAGACTAAAATGAGATTTAGATTTGCAGGTAAATGAAATAAGCAGACTTGTGCAGGAAACGGCAGGCTTATTTCACAGACCAAAATAAATTACCTCCCTTGCTTGTCAGTAACAAATGTCCTTTGTTGTCCTTAAAAATATAATTACTGGATAGTCTAAACCTATGAGTCTTGTATTACAATGCAATGTCATTTAATAATTACGATCACTGAGAATATTACAAATAAACCAAATGTATTCTGTATCTTTTAAGGTTATAGCTAAAGTACAGCATGTTTTTTTCATTATTCATGTCTGGAAGATGGCATGACCCACATCATGACAGCTCACAAATTTTAAATCTAACATCAAATAAGTGTTATGCTTGGTAAAGCTGACTGTAAGGCTCTGTACAAAATGATTCAATGGGAACATCACTCAACTGCTGAATTGACTCTGTGACAGTTACTGACATACAGATCACATAAAAACAGCAACCTGTGCACAATAAATTTTACTTTTAGATAAATGTGGCGTAACCATTATTTCAAGTAGAACCAAAAAAGGCAACACGTAACTTTAAATTCAATTCAGCTGTAAATTCATATTTCTAACACTGCTACTTACAAATAGGTTTTCCTTCTGTTATGTTTTGGTGGTCTGACCTCACCTGCCTAAAGGAACAATCCAGAGACACCATGGGCTTTGAGGCACAAGCAGTGAGCTGCATCTAGCAGACACTGCTCAATGCGTAGTCGTTCATGGTAGCTAAAAGCAGACTTTTAGTTTAGTTTAGTACCACTTCA